CATGATCATTGAGGACATCATTAAGCAGTTCTGTTATGGTAGAATCTTGTTCATCGGAATTAATACTATCTACATTATCAGATATGCTATTGAAACTGTTGTCATCAAAGAGCAACTCATCAAGTATTGAAACTTCAATATTATCTGGAAAAAAAATTTAAGATCCTTGAAAATTCTTTGTATTATTTAATAGAACACACTTTAGAACATTTTTTTTTTCACTATTTTTAAGAGCTTACCTAGCTCACTTAAATTTTCTGTTTCAGTTTCTATATCATCACTGACTAACTTTTCTAAAATCATGCCCACATGTGCGTCCTGTTCAAATATGTCCATACTCAATACTTGCTCTATCGCTTTATTGGTATCATCGTAACGCTTTCTTAGTTCTTTCTCTGCCGCCTCACAGCTACGCCGAAAGTCTAAAGCTTCACGTAAACGCAAACGACAACATTCACAAATTACTTCGGACAATCCATCTTCCGGTTCAATGTTCAACGTCGACACAAATTGTAGCAAATCCAAACGTAAGTGCGAATCATCAAATATATTGTACGTATGTAAGGGATTCTCTACTAAGCAGCAGCGACAGATTTGTTGATTCATCAGCATTGTAATCTTCTTGTTCACTACACTGAATATGCAGTAAGTAAAGCCACCAGTTTGTTTCTGAACGCGACGGTATCACTTTCCATATTGATGAGCCGAATTCGAAAATTTCCTACCGAACCATTTAATACTAACACAAATATTTTGCCGGTTCATTATATTATATTATATTGTATATTGTATATTGTATATTGTATTAAACGGTAGGGTCTATCTCTCTTCAATGATAACTCAAAACATGTACACTTCACATACACGCATTCTCCCTTAGCTTGCGTCTATTAGTCTGTCAATCTTCCGTTCATATGTACGTAGATTTTGAGATTCATTTCAATGTGACGATAGCCCTTGACCTTCCTGCGTTGGCGAATCAGCGTGTGCATTGATAACTGAGAACTTGAGTACAGCAATTTAATTTAAATTACTAATTGATTATCAATATACACTGGTACTTCTTGCAGTTTCATTTCTCTTTCCACACTGCTTCTTTACTCCGGTTTCGGTAAGTGATAAGCCGGCCATGGGTGTAAGTGCACGGCAAGAGAATATTTTCTTATTATTTTTAGTGCTGTCGCGGCTATTTGTGCTGCCGATGCGACCGCTGCTGCTCTGGATTATCAAACCGTGAAAGATGGCATAATTTTTTTCCATATAAAGATAAGAAACTTTTTTTGCTATTTTTTTTTAATCTTGAGTATATATACACACCTTCCCTCTGCTTAGAAGTTCATGGCAGAAAAAGAGGAATACGATTAAGTAATAAAGTAGAAAATAAATAGATCGACCTTGAAAATCGTCAATTATATTGTATTTTAGGAGCATTATTTTCCTAATTATAAACAAGCTCAAAGGGATTTGTTTTCTTTTATTTTTTAATGCTATGATAAGGAGTTCTTGCTCTTACGAGATTAGAGATAATGAAGGAGTTTGACATTAAGACTCATTAATAAAAAATATTGGTTTTGCTTATGAACTCATAACGGTTGACAAAATGTTTTCGATATATATTAAATTATTTTAAATTGAAAAGTGTGGTTAAAGTAAGATAATTTTAAATCCACAAGATTTTTTTTTTAATCAAGTTAGTTCTTCAGAAGTCCATACAGCACCAGAACTCACTTGATTAAAAAATTACTTCTGGATTTTTAAACTGCGTCACCTTTACCCCCCTTTTCTACTTAAAATAGATTTTATGATCATAGGATATGAAATCCTTAAGTAAATTATTTTATGTTAAATGACCTACAAAAGGTCTTTTCGTCCTGGACTTCAGTATGCTTAGATGCACTTAAATTAAAAACCCAAATTCAATACGTAATAGTATAAATAAATATTAAAGACTGACTGTATAGAGGCCCATCGCTTCTAATTATTAAAGAGTCAATGTTCAACAAATAACCGTAGGTTAGGTTATATCGGCGATCCCTTTGACCTATTGACCCATTGTGTTACCTTATATGTAGGAAAACTCAAGGTTTAAAACCACCCAGAACCTTTGGCGCAGTCTGAATATTATTGAGTGTCCGGTCCTGTAATTGATCGAGATCCTCAAGAAAGGTGACTCTTAAAGTGTTGAGTCGCCGCCGTGCATGAGCTGGGCAAAAACATAGTAACATATTTCCCTTCTAATGTGGTGTCTATAGATGATTTCTCTGGACTATCGTATGATCATTAGTAGCTATTTTCTGTTACTGTTGTTGGTGTAATCAGCAAGGATATATAAAGTAGATAACATACAAGGAATTACAAAGACGTGCGCATATCCAATACCGTTGCCACTGAAATCAAAAGAAAAAAATGGAAATGGATTGGAAATACGCTTAGGAAACAAAAAAAGCCCTACGCTGGAATCCACCAGGTAACCGCCGACGTACAGGATAAGATATAGCGAAGAACCATCCAGGAACTTAAATATGTACAGTACTCCTAGAATCAAATTGCGAAACAGGCAACAGTGTAAGACTCAGAGGAATTGTTGAGGATTTATGCTTCACTAGGAGAGAAGGATCGCAGTAAGTAAATAATACATGGGTTAGTATATGAATAGGTTTTGGTAGTGTGAGAGGCGAGGGTATCGTTTAGCAATAAGAATGGATTCGGGACAGGAGGGATCTTTGGAGCTGATTGATCCAAAGATCAATTGTACCTTAGTTAGTATCTGCTATTTTTACTGCTTTACTGCTTATTCTTACAATGTTTTACCTTTCTTTTTTCTATTGAAATTTATTAATAGAATATATCTAATATTAATTATACGTTAGCACATTTTTGTATTTTTAATATTTATTATATAATTAACTCAGTTTTTTTTACAAAATTCTGTACTTATACAAAAAAGGAATTAATTTTATTCACTTTGTTATATAATATATATATTTACATATATAAATATATATATTATATGTTTCTGTATACATATATCTACATTTAATATAAATATTTTTCATACCAGGAATATATACTTTTTATATATATCTGTATTATTTATTAGTGTACATAATTTACATCTTTGGTTATACATTTTATTTATATTGCATACATTAGCTTTCAATGTTATTATTTATATATAAATATATATAATATAATTGCAGTTATCATAATATATATAACTTTTATCTAAATTATATATATTTGTATGTTATCAATATTTAATTAATTTTAACAACAAAAGGCCACGCTTTTTCAACAAAAATTCATTGTTACAATGTGTTTTTTTATACATATATGTAAATACATAATTTTTTATATATCTATAAATCATATATAAAAATGTATATTAATCATATGAATTATAGTGTACTTGCTTCATTGGGATGTATAGTACTTGTACTTAAATATATATTACATATTTAGATAAGTTTCACTTAAATCAATAATTCACTTCTATAAACTATCATTATTTACTTTATAAATTTTGAAAGCAGGTTTTAAAGTCTTTTTTTACGCGTTGTTCGCCAACTTTTCTGCTAATTGTGCTTGCAGTAATTCCGTATCAGGTAACCAAAAAGCCAAATTAGTGCAAGCTGATGCTAACATAATTTTTTGTGGATTAAATTGTACGCATCTTGTTGGACCCAAATGATTTCCATTCAGTACACACACTTTGCGACCAGTATCTGTGTTCCAAACATGTAAACGACCATTACTACTACCAGAAAAGATATACTGAGAATCTGGACTAAAGCTTGCCTCGATCGATAAACGTTCTGTATTGGCATAACCATCGAATGTTTGCAATGGTGTACCATGAAAAGAGTCCAACAAACGGATGACAGTACCATTTGTACTTATTAAAATAGTTTTACCATCGCGTGAAAACTTCAAGCCAGTCCATTCTATTTCCTCTTCTGGAATCAACTTAAATGTAGTAAATGGTCCTTTATCGAAAGAACGCAAATCATACAATTTAACACTATCTGAATTAACACCAGCAGCAAAAATTAAACCTTCCGGATCAAATGCAGCTACAGTTTTGCTAGGAGTTTGCATTATTGCGAAACTATTTGGCGCACGTAAGTCCCATAAACGTAAAGTATTATCCAATGAAGCAGATATGAAAGTGTCATCAACTGGTGAAATAGTCAGTGTCGTCACTTTCTTAGTGTGACCAGGAAAGAAACGTAAATACTTATTATCGTGTAAGCTGAGATAACGTATGGAATCATCGACTTTAGTGGAACTATGTAATATTGCATTAGGTGCATGCGTAAAACGTATTAAATCAACTCCGTACTTTAAGGATTTCACCATGCGTGATTGTAGCCCTTTGGTGCAATCGTACACAACTATTTGTCCGTCATCACTAGACGTTATCATTAATTCACCAGTGTAGGTGAAGTCCATACAATTTATTTTGGCTGTATTATCATGCATTATTCTATCCACTTTTAAATTTTTGACAATGGCATCAGTTAATTTATATTTTGGAGCTTCGACTTCTTCAGTAGTGTTCGTTGCTAAATAGAATGAAAAGAAATATACTATTATAAATAATGTTCGATATAATTTAATCGTTTATATACTCACTAGTAGCCATATTAACAGTACTTTTATTTTTATTTGTTAAATCAAAGAGAAAATTCGTCGAACTTTTTACAACAAAAATAATGCCGCAAACAGTTTACTAACAACTTTTACAGCACATCAAGTAATTTTGACAATTCGAATGAGTTATCGATAAATTTTATAACGTAAAGCAAGGAACAGTATGTTCAATTTAGGCCAATATATTTATTTAAATACTTTTTTTATGTTATATATATTATTCACAATCAATCAATTTATAAAATAATGTAGCATATTTATTGCAACAATTACTTGAATTACGATGTACTATTAAGGCTGCTTAATGCATTTATTAAATTTTTTATATTATGATAACAATATATTTTTGCTTACGTGAGATCTAGGATGTGTCATCTTTCTAGTCCTACATCATCCTTATAACACAAAATCTATTCAACACAGACTGAAAACTTGAAAATGTCGAAGTAAATAAATTTTTAATAAATCTGTGCATAATTATAACTAAAATTTATGAAATTATTGTTATAAAATTATTTATTAAATTTATATTTCAATTTTTTGTACAAAATTGTAATTAAATTTATTTATTTACAAAAACATCAAACACACGAAACAAAACACAAGGGAAACGTCAAAATTAATCTCCAATGTGTAATGTAAACGGTGGATATTAAAAATGCAGATTAACTTAATCTCGTTCTCTTAATCTCACAATGTAAACGTATTGGGGCCATGTTATGCGGAGTGTCTCGGGCACGGCAAAATTCAAAATTAGGGCTATGCCATAAATGCATGTTATGCAGAGTGTCACATCAGTATTGCCAATTTTGTATTTTACTACTTCTTGGTAATGCCTAAATTTAAAAAGAAATTTAGATGTGCTCACTTTCAATTTGCTACCAAAAACAACTAGCAAAAAAAAACTCATAGAGGCTGTAATAATGTTAATTTATTATTATATTATCTTATAATAATTGTTAACAGTACTTACGCTTTTCTTTAAAATCGGAAAGTGTAATAATTATATTAATAGCGTTTTATTAAAAAAGGCTGTGTTGCTTACTGTCATTTTTTCTTCAAAACGTATTAGAATTGTAGTAATTTGCTCGTAAAAGGCGCAAATTTTAAAATTTATTACTAAACAACACTGTTTTGCCTTAGTGCCGGGGCACAAATACATGGCTCTTAAAAAAATAAAACTTACTGCAAGCAAAAAATTAATTTGTCTTATTTTGGATTGCAATATAAGTTTCATCTAGTTTAAATATATAGTAGTACGGATCTATACATACATAACCATATATATCGCAGGCAGTACCGTTAACATACGTGCATATGAGATGATATTTGACATTTAGACCGTTTTTTTTACGTTAAAATGTCAAGTTCAACTAAAGCTGCGTGCTATAAAACCCATTTTTGACAATTCGTTACTGATGGAATTGCCAAAGTATGACAGCACCAGAAGGAATTTCGCACGATTGCAAAAAATTGATTAGGAACTGTATAGAATAATTAACTCTGTTTATATATTAATTCCAAAAGAATGAAAACAGATGACAATTAAAGTAAAGCGATAATTGTTGTATTTGTTAGCAGTGAAAGCCTCGGAAGTAATTGGTATAATCAATTAAAGTTGCAGTAATTACTGTCTGGTGTAAGAACAGGAAGGGTGCGCAGTGTAGTGTGTTTTAGGGTCAACAATAAACCTTGACTTAGAAGACTCACAAATATGACCGGCAGAATGCGGAATACAACCAAAGTGGAGGCACTTATCGAAAGTTGTCGAAGTGAGGGTAAATGGCAACGAGTAATTGAGCTGACCGAGGAATTAAAAACAGGGTCACCAAATAATGGTATTTTTTTTTATGTAATTATGTTACGGATTATAATTACGTATTTAACTTAATTAATTAGTATATCAAATGAATGATTGCTTTCTTTAGCATGATTCAGTGCTCGAGAAATCAAAGTGCGTAAAATAAGTAATAAGAATAATTATAATCTAAATGCGTATTAAAAAAATCTTTTGTACATAGTATTTATGATTTTTTTCCTTCTTTAGAATGCCTGGCGAATTTTCTTATTGGCGAGGCACGTTTGGAGAACTACCTCGAAGATAATGCACCCATCGAAAGCAATTTCAGCAAAGCCAAAACTGGTCTGCATGATGCAAGACGTAGTCTAAATCTTGTCACGGGTGAAAATGGACAAAAAGCAGGGATTGCACTAGATGCTTTTCTACTATTAGCCAAATTAAGTTTCGCTTGTGGAGAATACGAAAAAAGTTTAGAGAATTTTGTTAAGGCTGAGCTAAATACACTGGCAGAAAAAGAACTGACATTGTAAGTATATACTAATATAATAAATCTGTTGTTATGTATTAGTTACATATATAACGACCTATAATACATACCATTTCCATTCCATTTACTTTCACCTTTGCAAATTCTTCTTTTACAGACGCAGCCTAAAAATATTAGCAGAATCTTATGCTATTAAGGGTCTCTGCTTAGAAAATCAAACAAATCAGCCATCATCAAAGTTTAAAAAAGCTGAAAAAGAAACTGAAATGGTAGCTGTTCTCATAATAAACTTTTCCAAAAAATTTTAATAATTTTCCCTCACAACTAGATATCATGTTTTGAACGTGCCACCGACTTAGGACTATTATATTTACAAGAACAGGATATTGCTACATATTCAACGCCAAATAGTACTGCTGGCACAACGCTTGCAGTCAATTCCACCGTACAACCATCTGCCAGCAGTTTAGCGATTAGTTCTACAATACCCGCCAATCCATTAGAAATAAATCGACGTATGGGTACCATACTGGAAACAGCACTACAACGTGCTCCTATCGTACTCATTAAAGCGGGTAAACTGCAAGATGCCATTGAAAGATATCGTACTATGTTGAATGCCATAGAAACTAAAACCACGCAATCACTTAGACTGACTCTGGCACGTCAATTAGCTGAGGTGCTGCTACGTGGTGTCTCAGGCACTATTTATACACCACCATTTATTAAAAAACCAGCGGGACAAGCTATGCGTACAACAACAACAAAACGTTTATGGAAACCAAGAAAATATGCAGCACGTAATCAATTCACACCACGTAATCAACATGAGGAAACAATATTATTATTATTAATTGCTGAAGCTTTAGCTGTACGCGATACCGTGCTCTCACAAAGTCCAGAATTTCGTGTAGCACGTCAGCATGCCATGGGCAATGCTACAGCTGTTTATGATTTGTTAACATTAGCCACAGTACGTTGGGGACTAGTCAATCTTTTGACAGAATCATTTGAGAAAGCATTAAAGTTTTCATTTGGTGAACAGCATGTGTGGCGTCAATATGGTATTTGCCTAATGGCAGCTGGTAAACATATGCAAGCGCTAAGAGTACTACAAGAGTCAATGAAAATTACACCAGGTGATCCTTTACCCTGCTTGATGGCAGCACGTATCTGCTATGAGTCATTAGGTTTAACTAAGGAAGGTTTAGATTTTGCGCAACAAGCGCTCAAAAGAGAATTAAAAGGTATTTATTATTTAGTTTGTTCAATTATTACGAAAAAAATGTTTAACACTACCTTTTATTTTATTTGAATAAAGGTTTACGTCCTTCCCGCAGTCAACTTTATGTTGGTATTGGTTACCAACAGCTGGCTATACAATCATTACTTAAAGCCGAACGTGAT